CCTCGCTGGTTCCCCCCCGCCGAAGTGAGGCCCGAGCGGCTGCAGCTGCCGGGCCTCGATGGTCTCTCCCCCCCACGCCGAAGCGGCAGCAGCGAGGCCGGCTGAAGAGCGTTCCCTGCGCATGCGCAGGGGACGCTCTGTCACTTTTGGGGGGATTTACGTATCCCCCCAATATTTTTTTCGGGTTTTTAGATTTTTGTGCACACCTGGGGACTGCCCCAAGTGTGCACAAAAATCTCCCTCCCCCCCAGGTGCCCCCGATGCACGGATTTAGGCATCCGCATGCAGGGGGCGCCTTTCGGTATTAGATATATAGATACTGTAGCTAGTGTGTGTGTGTGGGAACTGAATTTTCCATGGACTCCAAAACCTACTCTCCTCAGACTTGACCTTCTGAAATGTCATGGAAAAAAAAATGGGTTGGCACTATTTCACTTTAAGGACCCTCCCACACACATTTCCTACCCAATACCTTTGACTTTTGGTTTTGGAGGCACTTATGTTAGTCAATGGTGGGAGGCCGGGCTAGGGCAATAGAGGAGCAGAACAGAACTTGTGCTGCTGATGACTGCCAAGTCTGATATTTCCCTGCCCTGCCCACACTCACATTTCACTCCTCAGCTGTCTGTTGGAATTGCCTACTGTGTGTGTAAGTAGTACTATATTGCTTTGCTCTCAGCAGCTTTATGAAAGGGGAAAGGAGGGTTGCGATGGTCCCTCTAAGCTGTGGAGTCTTGTGACCAGAAATTCTACTTTGTGAGCTCCTGGCATTAAAGTTCTGAGTGAGCAATTTGGCTTACTGCACAAATTAGTTTGCTCTGGGGCCATCCTCCCTGAGCTAAGACAAAAATTCTGTGAACTGGAGGCTGAAAAACTGAGCTAGCTCACACTAATTCAGCTTAGAGGGAACACTAGCTGCCACCCAACCAAAATTTACCCTCTTGGCCAGATGACGGCCCTGAGGGAGACAAGGCCAGAAAAACCATCCATTCATGCTGTTCTTGATTATAATGGTTATGGCAAGCTGAAAGTGTGTGTGTGTGTGCGTGTGGTAATGGCACACTTTCCACAATCATTTTCGGGAGCACCTAAAGTGCTTCCCCTCACCTTTTAGTTAATCCAGCATAGGTGTTGCTCCAAAAGATGGTTCAAAAGGCTGCTTTCCCCCTCCAGAATGAGGGCAGCATTAGTCTTCCAGTGCTGTTTCAGGGAGGAGGAGTGGCACCAGAGGGGAAGGCAGCAGTTTGGTGTAGTGGTTAAGTGTGCGGACTGTAATCTGGGATAAGCGGGTTTGATTCCCCACGCCTCCACTTGCACCTGGCTGGATGACCTTGGGCAAACCGTAGTTCTGATAAGAGCTGTTCTTGAAAAAAGAGCAGTTTCTGTCAAGAGCTCTCTCAGCCCCACCTGCCTCACAGGGTGTCTGTTGTGGGGAGGGGAAGGGAAAGGAGATTGTAAGCCGCTCTGAGACACCTTTGGGTAGTGAAGGGCGGGGGATAAATCCAATCTCTTCTTCTCTTCTTCTTCTTCTTCTTATCCCCCCATGCCATGGTGATCCCAACCAGAATCGGGCACTGTAAAGGAGTTCCTACCTGGGAAGTCCCTTTTTACAATGGCAGTTAACCCCCAGGGCTAAAGTGGGGACGCCTGTCACATCTAGATGGGCCTTTAGTTTGGGTGATATCAAGGTCAGTGTTGTCTACTTTGACTGGCAACAGCTCTTTATTTATATTTCATTCAACTTCTTAACCATCCTTCCCCGCTTACGCGGGGCTCAGGGCGGTTTACAACAACATAGAATCCAATACAATTTTAAAACCAGTTAAAACTACAAAATTCCGAATTAAAACAGGGTCTTCAGGATCTCAAGTAAATGTCTTTCTCCTCATGTACCACCTGATCTTTTAACCTGGAGATCCCGGGGACCGAAACTTCTGCTGTCGATCTTTGTCACCCGCATTGCCACACCTGAATTCCTTAGCAGCAACTTGATGGCAAATGTATATATATTTCTCAAGTGTGTCCCCCATCTTCAGATACCTAAATCTGCAGATTGAGGCCACACTTAACCAAAACTTGAGTGATCCCCCCCCCAAGTTTCCAGAATAATCTGAAATCTTTAAAAAAATACATGGAGGGTTAATTCCCCCCCAAAGTAAAACAGGTTCAAGTTCCTACCTACAGGGGTCATCGGAGGAGCCTGAGAGCCCACACTTGTGTGTGTGTGTGTGTGCGCGTGTGTGTGTGTAAAGCACTGGGAATATTTTCGATCTGTCACTTTTTAAAGTCCGTCCTTCCTCTGAGTGTAGTTCTCCTCCATTTCATCCTTACAAAAACCCTTGTGAGGTAGGATATGCTGTGTGTGTCAGGGAGTGAGTCAGTGGCCCAAGATTAGTTTCATGGCTGAACAGGGTCTTGAAGCCAAGTCTCCCAGTTCTGGCAAACACTATGCCACACTGGTTATTTGTTCCCCCCTCCCCTGGGATTTTCAAACTGTAGGTAACACTGAATCCTTGGGACAGGATCACAATCTATATAAATAAATGGGGCCAGACAGGTGAGTGTACAATTGGCACTTTTAAGGAATCCATTCTTTCCCTCGCTGTATCCTGCCTTTCTGTTCTATTTTTAAAGTGGCTTTAAGATCAAGCCAAGACATTTGAACTGAACATCTGTGATGGTGTGGGATGCCCAGTGGGAGGCCAATCTGACCAGCTCATTAAGAGCCTTTGGCCGGAGAGCAAAACCATTCTTCTTTAGAAAAGTGCTTAATCTGAAATGTCAGAGCCTTTGTAGAATAATGCTAAGAGGGGTATGCAAGAGGGGGGAAAGAGAGCCAGATTCAGATGTGGGTCTTTATTTAATAATTAAAAAAACAATTTGCTTTGGTTTCTTTACTAAAGAAATTGAATCCAGTTGTATTAAGGAATTCATTCTATTCCATTGGTTAGAGTGTTTGACTAGACTGGAGAGACCCAGGTTCACATTCCCGCTCTGCCCTGAAGCAGACTGGGTAACCTTAATCTAGTCACTCTATCTCCTTCTAACCTACCTCATTTTTGTCACATTTTAATTTTGCTTCTTGTCTGTCTTAAATAATTTTAAGAGTTTCATTGGTCATCCACTGAGGCTTTTCATTCCTTTTGGCTACAGGAATAGTCTTTGCATGTTTTTCCTTGATAATATCTCTGGCTTCAACCTATAGTTCTTCCAGTTCATGTTTACTTCAACTAATTAATGCAAATATCTTCTTTTGCAATAGGGATGGTGGCACTAGACCTGGGAAGAAACCCTGAATTCTTGTGGCTGCTGTTCTTCAACCACATTTCCACCACTTAAGTCAAAGAGGACTGCATGTGATGGGTCTTTCCTCAAGCACTGTGCTTATCATTCTCCTGTCATGCTGCTGCTGGGTTACGGCACGTAAACATGTTCTTAGTTCGTCTTCTATTCCAGAGATCTTTGTGAACAATGGTGGCCCATGGGGCTACTGGGGAGTTGAGGAACACTGTCCAAATGGTTATGCTATTGGTTTCTCACTGAAGGTAAAATTGGCCTTTTCAGATCCTCTTGTGCTGACTAGCTGTCCTGAAGTTTCTGTCATTCCCTCTTCCTAAACTATGAACAAAATGGTGCCTGTGAACCAGAAAACAGTTCCAGGTAGGGGTGTAACCACAGAAATGTCTATGGGGGCCTTGTCCCACCTAGGGACATCCAAGCCCTCCTTCCTCACTTTTCAGAGGTCATCTGAAATAAGACCTCTAGTCCTCATGATGCTCTAGGGTTCACCCAAAACTCTATGCTAGATTGAAGTTTGAGCCCAGAGGCACCTTTAAGTCCAACAAACTTTTATTTAAGATATGAGCTTTTGCGTGCAAGCTCACTTCTTCAGATACAGTGACAGAATTTCCCCAACCATTACATATGTAATGGTTGAGGAAATTCCGTTTCATTGTTTCTGAAGAAGTGTGCTTGGACTTTGTTGCTCTTAAACAACTTTGTTGTTCTTAAAGGTGCCACTGGACTCAAACTTTATTTTGCTGCTTCAGACCAACACAGCTACCCACCTGACTCTATGCTAGATTGTCGCCCCGATCTGATGATGACACTTCTCATTTGGCACTGGATGTGATGTTGCACATTTATGTGATGCTGAATTGCTTGTCCGTGTCCCCTCAAAATAGTCTTGCTGGGGTGCCACCTAGAGTTCATAGGAATCATAGCATCATAAAGTTGGAAGGGACCTCCGGGGTCATCTAGTCCAACCACCTGCAGAATTTAGGAAATTCACAAATACCTCCCCCCCCCACACCTCCAGTGACCCCTACACCTCCAGTGACCCCTACTCCATGCCCAGAAGATGACAAATTGCCTCCAGGATCTCTAGCCAAACTGGTCTGGAGAAAAATTGCTTCCTGACCCCAAGTGGTGATCAGCATTTCTCTGGGCATGTGAAAAAGGGCCGCGAGAACTAAGCACTGATGCACAACCCTTCCTGCCCTCAAGGTAATTACACCCTTTTATGATGGAGCTAACAAGTTTCAGCTAGTGCAGGAAGTAAAAGGTTGATCCTATAGATCCCTTTTGTTAGGAGAGGGACCCTCTTGCTGTGGATGCCTTCCCTTGATGTGAGATGCTATTTTGAGCCTCTTGGGGCCAGGGAAGGTTGCCTCAGATACTCGATTTGTGGGACCCAACCCATCTGCCCCAAGGAAAGATCAGGGCATAGTTCAAGATGAGTCACACAAGTTCAGACAGTGTTCCCTCTAAGCCTCCGGCTCACACATGTTTGTCTTAGCTCAGGAAGGACGGCACCAGAGCAAACTAGTTTATGCAGTAGCCAAATCGCTCACTCAAAACTTTAATGCCGGTAGCTCACAAAGTAGAACTTTTTTGCTCACAGGACTCCACAGCTTAAAGGGAGCATTGGTTCAGAGCATGCCAGATTACCGTGCCACACCTGGAGTATTTAAAACAGCCTGCTCCAAGAACAAAACCATAACGATTATTTGCTAAAAGGGTCTGTTTTGGGCACTGGGATCAACACTCTTCCGCAAGACATTTAAACAGAACCCTTCTCAAAACCTTTCCCCCTATTTTGCTTTCTCTCTAGTTCTCTGCCTTTTGAATATTTGCCTATGCTATGAACTTTACATAGCTCTTCACGGGACCATGAAATATCAAAAGAGGATAAGGATCTTGCCACACTGTGCCTCTTTGATCTAAGCTGGTTATTAGAATGCTGTTCACTCCAGGCTGCAGTGCCGGGGTCTTGGCAGTAAGCAGCTTGAAAAGGGGACTGGATGGATTGATGGAGGAGAGGTCCATCAGTGGCTACTAGCCACGGTGACTGAGGGGAACCACCACATTCAGGGACACCAAAACTCTGAATCCTGGAGCCAAGAGGCAACATCAGGGGAAGGTCTCTGTTGTGTAGTGAGTTAGCTGCATGGAAGAATTTCTGAGGCACGCATGATACACTGCACACTTTACTAGTACACAACACGCACACCCACCAACGGCCAACCGGCCGCTTATATACAGTCTGGGGAACCTCCCATTGGCCCATTCAAACCTCCCGCCAATGTCCCATTGGTTCCCCTAGTGGCAGGGTGCAGGAGCCTGGTCCCATTGTTCTCCGGACTCAAGCTCCGCTGTATCGCGGGCGCCTAGTGGCAGTCCGTGGACATAACAGTCTCAGCCTCTATGCCCTGTTGTTGGCCCTCCAGGGAAACTGGTTGGGCACTGTGTGAGACAGGATGCTGGACTAGAAATATCACTGGCCTGATCCAGCTGTGCTCTTCTTATGTTCTTATGTCCCCACAGAAATCAATGTGCCTTGCCCTCATGTAATTGTGGGAACCTTAGGACTTCCCCCAGCACACTGCCTCTTTATCTCTCCTACCTCAGATAGAGCCATATCAGGGAGGCGACGTGGACAACGATGATACGTCCCTGAACGGCATCCGTCTGATATGCTCTGATGGTACATTTATTTCATCCAGTGTTTCAAAGTGAGTAGCTCGTTGTGATCTAGTGGCAGCTGTTCAGATGCAACAGGTTCTGCCCTCTGTGTGGGGGCAGATCTACCATGAAACTAATGACGCTTAAGCTTCAGGGCCCCTAATCCTGGAGGGGCCCCGAAGCAACTTTTTTTAAAATGAGTGAATTTCTCGACAAAATTGATGGAGGTTTGTTAAAGTGTTTCTTATTAAAATAAGGCTATTTTAGTGACAGAATCGTAAGCCAATGGGTTGAAGTACTTAATATTGACCTTAGAATATGATCTAATACCTATTATCTGCCATTTGGGCCTCAAGGTCCTTACAAGGGCAGCAAGGCCCTTTGGACCTTATTGGATGTTGCCCTAGTGTTGCTGGTTGAGAAGGGCCCCCCATAACAGTTCCAGCTTCAGGGTCCCAAAAATGTAGATCTGCCATTGCCTCTGTTTGTGTCCCCACTCCCCACGCGTACCCTGTTGCTTCATGTTCTCAGCAGGGATCCGGGGATGGTCTTAGCCATGGGTCGACTGGGGCAGCTGTCCCAGGCTGGGAAGGGCCCCAACCACCCACGGCCCCACCACCCATGAAGGGAGAAAGATCAGGGAAAGGCAAGTAGGCTCCCGCTGCCACCCACACATGCCATTCAGGGCTCAGGCAGCTGGATCAGGGGGGTGGCAGGCATCAGCACGCCCAGGGCTCTTTTTGTAGAAAAAGCCCAGCAGGAACTCATTAGCATAATAGGCCACACCCAACAGCAGAAACTCATTAGCATATTAGATCACACCCCTGCCAGCACAGCTCATTAGCACATTAGGACGCACCCCCAAGTTATCAGAAGTCTGGTCATCCAGACACACCCACCTTTTGCTTGTTATTCTGTTTACCTTGTTTGTTGTCAAAACCCAGGACTTTTTTTGTAGCAGGAACTCCTTTGCATGTTAGGCCACACACCCCTAATGTAGCCAATCCTAATGAGTTTCTGCTGTTGGGCACGCGATTTGAGGGGAAAACAAAGAGTTTTCCCCTCAAATCGCGTGGCCCTGCCCCCAGCGTGCGACGTCACTTCCGGGTGACGCGCACGCGGGGGTGGGGTTTCCCCCGGGCCCCGATTCCGGCACGCCGGGAATCGGGGCTCCAAAACGGGGGATTCCCCGCCCCCCGGCTGCATTTGGCAGCCCTAAGCCAATCCTAATGAGTTTCTGCTGTTGGGTGTGGCCTGTTATGCTAATGAGTTCCTGCTGGGCGTGGCCAACTTGGGAGCCAGCCGGAACTCGGTTCCTGTGCATTCTTGCCCAAAAATAGCCCTGAGCACGCCTGTTCCAGCAGCCAGTTTGGTGTTGACAGTAACATGTCCAGGGCCCCAGGTTCACTAAGACCGCCCCTGTGGAATCACTTCCCTTCCTCTGCCCGGATGTGTGTTCTGGGGGTAGTCAGTCCTCAGCATCAACACCCCGTCTTGAATGACTACAGAGCAAAATCTAAAGGTGGCTTAGGCTTAATTAGGTCTACCAAAGCCACCTGGACTTGTTATAAGAACTGACCTAGTTATAGGAGGTCTGCTTCTGGTTTCATTCTCTCACCCGTGCTCTTTAATATCTATATGAGGCCACTGAATGAGATCTTCCAGAGCTTCAACACTGCACGTCATTGCAATGTAGATGACACACAGCTCTATTCGATCCATTATCTATTTCACGGGTCTCTGATGCGGTGGCTTTGGACACCAAGGCACCCGCCGACCCCTCTCCTGGTACCTATCAAGTGTTTTTAGAACACGAGTGGGGGCCAGGTAGGGCTCCTGCCCAGCAGGGCTTCTGATTGGCCACTGGAGATCTGATTGGCCGTGCAGATTAAAATAATGTTTGTGCAGCAGCTGCCACCACAGTATTGGTTTTATCCTCTCACTCCTCTTTCCCAATATATTTTTTAAAAGTACTCCTCTTCCACCCGGCACTTGTGCTTCCTCTATGTGTGGTTGGCTGGCTCTACCCCCTGCAGTGGCCATTTTATGGGTTAGCTCTGCCTCTTTTGGTGGCCATTTTGTGGTCACGCCCACCACACTGTGTCAGAATTCCAAAGTTGCCCACAGGCTCGAAAAGCTTTGGGGACCCCTGCTCTGTTTTATCCATTAGCCAAGCCTGCAGATGTGTCTGTCCTCGCTCTGAACTAGTGCTTTGAGTCCGTGGCCTGGTGGTGAAGGCAAAACAAACTGAAGTGAAACCAGGCAAGATGGTCAGGGGGTCAGATATGGTATTGGCTTCACTTTTAGTGGCTGTAGAGGAACTGGCATTTGCAGAGCAGGTTAATAGCATGTCTTGCCTACCTTAAAACAACCACAGTGCTTGACAGTTTGTTTCTTAGTTCAATTTGAGGTGCTCGTTCTGACACTTAAGACCCTCACAACCTAGGGCCTGCATATCTAAAGGACGGTCGCTTCTCATTTGCCCCTTTGCACTAACTAGTGACCCTTCCCCCACTGAGGGTAGCAAGCCCGTTCCTGTGGAATGGGCTCCCTGAGGAGTTGAGGGGGGTGCCATCTTTAGCAATTTTGAGTACGTGCTGCAAGGCCATTTTCGTTGCCAAGGCTTTTAATAGGGTGTAGACCATAGGTCTCTTTTAGTGGAGAGGGGGATATTTGGATTTATAAAATAAATTCTGTATGTGTTAAATTGTGATTTGTAAACCACCTTGAGCCATGAAGAAAGGTGGGATATAAATATTTAAATGTATTGACTTTTAATTTAATTTCAATTTAAATATATTGACAAAAATATATTGACTTTTTATAAATAAATATTGGGATGGATCTGGTGAGTTTTCTGTCCTGCAAGAGGAAGATTTCACCCAGTTTCCCCATCTTATTGCAGCCCTCTGTGCCATGTGCCATGTTATCTACGACCTTCCTTTGACTTCCAGCATGGGATTTTCAGAGGTTGCACCAGGCTGCTGTGGGAATCAGATGCAGGCCTGTAGCTACGGTGGGGCTTTTGGGGGCTCCACCCCCTTTCTTAAAGGCCCAGCACCACAAGAATTCCTCCTGTAAATGCTTTTTTCAATCATTTTAATTTTTTTTAAAGTTGTGCACTCCTTTAAGTAGAGCGGGGTGCTGTAGTTGATTAATTCCCGCACTGAGCAAGGAGGTTGGAGTAGGTTACCTTTAGGATCCCTTCTAACTCTGTGTCAAGAAAGTTGTCTCCTTTAAGAGAGTGTTAGCTTTCTTGACTATAGAAGTCATCACCCCACCTGCTGGCTTGTTATCAGAATTGTTGCTTAGGTTGACAGAAGTGATTAACTTGCAGCAGCTGAGAACTGTCATCTAAAGTGGTTGATGGCTTGCAATTTAGAGATCTATCCTGGTAACAGCTTTCTATTGGCTAAATGGCTTTTCTTTCTGCACTTAACTTCAGCCCCACCAGAAAAAATTTTGCCCCACAAGCCACAAAATCCCAGCTAAGGGCCTGATTGGATGGCAGGAAAAAGATCATCTCCGCAAGAGGATATCTTGCCAGATCCATCGTATTGCTAGCCCATCTCAAGGCTCTAAGGCTTTTATGTACTATTGGCAGAAAAATATGTATATTTCTTAGATTAATTCCCTTGTTTGTCTCCGGCAGGTGGGGTACTTGGTCTGGGCGCTACTATTGCCCAAGTGGTGGTAAGCTGGTGGCCTTCTCTCTGAGGGTGGAGTTACCCCAAGGGTTTTGGGATGATACGGCGGCTAACAACATCATGTTTCGCTGTGAAGATGGAAGCATACTGGTCGGCAACTCACACGAATGGGGTTCGTTTGGCCCCTGGAGTGAAAACTGCAAGGATGGGATATGTGGGCTACAGACAAGGGTGGAGGCAGAGCAAGGTCCCAATGACGACACAGCACTTAACGATGTGTTATTCTACTGCTGTTAATCGAAACATAGCACTTCTTCCTCATTCACAACGTACCTGCCTATTAAGATAGATCAAGGTGGGCAGCCGTGTTGGTCTGAAGCGATACAACAAAGTTAGAGTCCAATGGCACGAAGTGTGTATGCACACGAAAGTTCACATCTTGAATAAAAAATTGTTGGTCTTAAAGGCACCACTGGACTCTAACTTTGTTATACCTGCCTGTTGTTGCTGTGGGTTTGCTAGTTCCCACCTTGATTCTACTGTTCAAGGTGGGAATTGGAAAACTTCTGTAGCAGATCCCCTGATGAAGCTTACTGCAAAATGCGTTATCCACAAGAGCCAAATAAATTTTTATATTCTGCACCTGCTCTCCTTCGTCTTCTCTAACAACTGGTGCGGCTGCCACTTTCCCTGATCGTTGTGGGATTGCTGGACATGAACGCTGTTTCCAGTTAAATTATATCTTTGAAACAGTGAATTGTGTGTATCTTTCTAAATTCTACATTTTAAATCATGTATTTGTGATCTCTGGATGAGAGGAGGAAGCAAGGACAAGAAAAAGGGGACAATAAGTGTGTCGGGCTGGATTAACAGAGATGGGGAGAGTCCACAGAGTCGTCTTCTTTAGTCCTGCAGATGTCTAATGCTGTCATGGTAGGTCTTGAGCCACAGACAAATCCCGTTGCTGGTATTTTTCTCTTGTGTATGAAACAAACTGTTAGAGGATTAGACTTCTGTCCCAGGGCCCAACTTAGCTGTACATGGTTAGCTTCTGGTTTATTCATACCGTGTGTATTCTTTTGTAAGTCACTTGGGGGTCTCTCCAGGGAGAAAATTCAGGTATAAATAGATACATTTTCCAAATCTCTCTTTTTCAAATGCCATAATGAAAAAATCACATTTAATGTTGATATAAATATACTGATGTTCAATACGATGCCTTTTTATTGATTTGTATGGATGCTGTAGAGTCAGGCTATGATTGGCTCTTCTACTGATATAAGAGATTCCTCAGGCATAAGAGACAGAGAGGAGTGACTTGGCCTGCTGCTTCCTCCTCACTACAGCCATCCGTGTTGCATCCCCTGACATCTGGTATTAGCTATTTGTGGGTCAAAAAGAGCTGCCAAGGAAGGGGGTGCATGGGAAATATCTGCTTCCATGAGCACTCTCTGCTTGTGCTTTGTTAGAATCCAACCCACTCTCTTCTCAGCTCCTTCTCTGCATTGTTATCCTCATGCTATCCTACTTTACAGGATGGTTGAAAACATCACGGTTAGACAATGCACAAGCAGGGGACCCTGAAGGACTTGCGGAGGACATTTCATTTCCCGTTCCCGTACGATTTCCTCTTTCCCATCCCTGAAACCCCCACAGCCTGTCCCACTTTACTGCTTCCTTCTTTCCTTTCCAGCCACCAGCCAGCTTACCTTTATATGCTCCCTGGTCTTCAGCTTTCCCTCCTTCCTTTCCCCTGGCAGCTTCTTCTCAGGAAGACTCTGTCAAAGCTGTGCAGTGCCAGTTGATCCTGGCCCAGTTGCATGGTGGGGAATGTACAAGGACTTGCATGGCACCTCACTTTCCCCTGCATCCCCTCCCCACACTATTTCCTTTCCCCCTCCACCTGGCAGCCCCCATAGCCTCAACTTTCTCTGATTTCTTCTTTCCTTCCCACCCAACCAGCAACCTACTTTTTCTGTGACCCCCCTCCCAATTGTCAGCTATATTTATTAGTAGTAGTTTATTAGTATGGTCATTGACCAGATACATAAAAGAACCAAAAAGACATCAACCGGTAAAGCATTTTCCCTATCTCTATTTTATCCTTACAACAACCTGGGAGTTAAGCTAGGCTGAGAATGTGTAACTGGCCCGTGGTCACTCAGAGAGCTTTCACAGAAGAGAAGCGCTCCAAACCTAGATCTCCCAGGGTCAGGTCACATGGACTTTTAGTGCGGGCTTCGCTGCTGATCCCTCGCGCATTAAAGTTTCCTGTTCATATTGGCAAACCCGCCTCCCGCACCGAAGTGGGCTGAGTCCCGCGGTTTCCGCTCTTTTTATCCGCGTTTTCTGACACCTGTTGGAACAGGTGTTTTCCGATATCTCGCGCTTTGTATCCGCAGTTTTGGTATCTGGACAGCAATCCGCTGTGACCATGCTACCCTCCCCCCCTTTTTTGTGTTTCCGGTTTAAGTTATGCGCATGTGCAAACAGGCGCTAGCTTTTATTTTGGTCTTCTTAGTTTGTATGTATGCCCAAGCGCATGTGCAGGTGTTTTTTTTTAAACCCGTGCCACCGCGGGGATGGTGCACTGTGTGATCAGTACTTTGCGCGAGTGAAGCGGAAGACAGAGGGACCGTCTGACCACCTCCAAGCGATATAAAATGTCACGGATAGAAGAACTGCGGGAAAACTAGCGCGGTAAGAGGTCCATGTGACCGCGGCCCCAGATTCTAGTCTGTAACTAACATTACACCACACTAGCTTTTGTGGGATAGCTGCTGTTGACAAGTAGCAAGCAACCAGGCCTGGGTGAGTCATGCAAGTTGCCCAGTGGTTGCTGCCATGCCTGGCTCTGATGTGTCCTCCCTTAAAGGCCAAAACAGCCCTAGAAAGGGCCTTTCCCCCTCCCACTGCATTTTCCTTTCAGACACCAAGGGATAAAGGCTGCCAGTACTGTTGTGGTTGTCTAGCAGAGATGCTGAGGGGATTCATTTTTTTAAAGTTACTGGTGCAACTTCTATCATTTGGACAAAGTGAACCCCCAGTGTATTTTTTAATTAATTTTTTAAAAAATTCTCGAAAAAAGTGGGATACAAAAGGGAAGAGGGGTTTCCAACTCTATGATTCTATGATTCTGTGCTGGATACTGGGTTTTATCTATCTAGATAACTTACAAAGCATCAAAGTGTCAGATAAATAGCATGAAGACTTGGCAAAAGAGGCTTTCAAAACTACTGAAGAGAGAAATATTGCATGTTGACTGTTTCAAATTTTATAACTTTTCTATGTCCGTGCAGGATAAAAGTTGCAAAATGCATGTAGATCAATTTGTCAGATTTGTTGTAGCTCATGGGATGAGTTCAAATTACTATTTGATCCATGTAGTTATCGTTTGACAGTCTGATTGTCTGATATTTTCAGCACATGCTTACAGTGAGATGATATTTTTAATCTCCAAAGATTAGTCGCTATCAATGAGGAAATGTTCCTCTGTAATGAGATTTTTGCCACACTATGGATCAAATGTTAACGCATCTTGTAAATCTACCCCATATATCGGATGACAGGGAGGTCACACAAAATTAATGGGGAATCAGGGAGAAATTGCATTGTTATGCCGAATGCTATATTGAGTGACAGGCATGAACATTTTAAATGAATAAATACATAACCGTTTTCTCCATATTCACTGAAACGCTAACATCTTGTATTTGTGCTAAAGAGTTTGGGGGATGGTCTGGTATAGTGTACGCTATGAACACAAGTACGCTTCATCTGGGATGAAAGGCATGTCTGGACAGGGATAGAGGAGGCATATATTGACCTAGGGTTGCCAGCTTTTACAGTTGTCTCTCTAGCTGTCCCTTTAATATCAATTTGATCAGTATTAATTATCATGCCATGAAAAACTTCAACAGCTGATTTCCACATTTTAAAAGGTTTTTATTGAAAATTTAACATCATATACAAAGACAAACCAGTGTCAATAAACTGTCATAAACATGTGAGGTCATAGTAAATAATCAAGTGTCAATTAAGTAACATAGTAAAACATCTATAATTCAATTCTGATCAAAATGGTCTTTGTTCTGAGCAATAAAATGTTAAACCATAATTTATAATAATCAAGAGAGGCAGGGTAAGGGTCTTTATTTGAGGTTTGTATCAGTATTTTTTCCATTGTGAGATAATCCCATATGTTCCCGTACCAAGGCTGAAGAATTGGGGGCGACTTCTATTAAAGGGACAATACAGTGTACTCTGGCCAGCTGACAGCCCTCCTGTACCTGGTAAAGGGTCTGTGCATGGAGAAGGGGGTAAGCGATTCCCCACCACTACCTACACAGCCACACACACATGATTTCCTTTTCCTAGTTTTTCTTAGCTATCTCCAGGGGTAATTTCCTGTCGGAGCGCACAGGAGCGGAGCTCCGGCACTAAAGAGCCCAAGGGGTGGGCACATGCAACAAGCCCCACACCCTGCTCCCAGCAGCGCTCAGTCACAGCAAGCAGCCGCCAGGTAAGTTGCAGAGCCCCCCCCCCGCCCCCCCCGCCCAAAACAGTCCAGTGGCACTTTTAAGACCAAGTTTTATTCAGGTACAAGCTCTCCCTCCTCTGCGAGGACACATCTGCCCGTGTCCCCCCCCCAGTAGCTAGCAATCCAAAATAGTTCAGTGGAGCCTGAGCGGTGGGTGTTGCTTTTTGACACACTTCCAGTGATGTCAGGGGGTGTGGCATGTGCAAATAAGTTATGCTAATGAGTTATGCTAATGAGCTCCTGCACCTCTTTTTCTACAAAATGACCCCTGGCTATCTCCAAAACAACTCTCGAAAAAAGAGAGGCACATTTTGAAAAGATTAAACCCTTTCCCACCTAGAAGGAATGCATCTGTCAAAAGTTTCTTTTTTCTTCTTCTTATACATCTACAATCAGACCTTTGTTTTGCATTCCAACCTCACATCTTTTTGTAATAACACTTCGAATCTCTTATTTTGCAAAGTCCCTCAACCCTCCCCCCCTTAATTTTGAAGATTTACAAAAAAAAATCACAACAGAACAAAAACCCAACAACAAAAAAACGCACAGTTCGATTTTAGGCCTTTGGTCGAGGTCAGGGCCTAGTTCCTTTTAATATTTGTATGGCTGTGCTTGTTTTATTCTGGCTAGCTGTTGTTTCCATTAACGTATCTCTTCAGACAAGTTTTACAGCAGTATCTTTAAAAAAAATCAAAACATTTTATTCCCCAATTCCACCCTCAGTATAAATTTGTAGGAGGCCACTCTAGACAGAGAG